CATTACATTACATTGCATTGCATTGCTTTGCATTGCATTGCATTGCATTGCATTGCATTGCATTGCATTGCATTGCATTGCATTGCATTGCATTAGTTATTGCATTGCATTAGTTATTGCATTGCATTGCATTGCATTGCATTGCATTGCATTGCATTGCATTGCGTTGCGTTGCATTGCATTGCATTGCATTGCATTACATTGCCTACATACATACATACATACATACATACATACATACATACATATACCTAGTGTGTGTGTGTGTGTCTGTATTTGTTTAATTTCCTTATATAGATGAATACACAAGCATATATATATATACATACATACATACAAACACACCCTATGTATGCATGTATGTATGCATGCATGTACGAACGTACCAGATTTGGAAGATTTACAAAAAACACGAACGCGAAGCACCCGATGTTCCACACTTCTATCCGCTCCAATCTAGGAGCTTTGCTTCTCCCGCGTCCGTCATTTGGGACACCCGAGTGCCGATGATCTTCTCGAGAACGGGAAAGGAGTCCCACCTGGAACGCTTGTCATGGGCTGCTTACCTTCTGATCCTCTGCATGTGATTCCTGCTTCGGTTCATGCTACTCTGATTTCGCGATTCGACATACTCCACGGCTAAGAAAGGGTCCTGTCAGAGTAGATGCAGGTCGGACATCACCACTTCTGCGGGCAAGTAGCATGGAAGATTGGATCAGAAGAATCATGGGCCGTATCCGCAGATTCTGCTGGATGGCTTCTGGCCATATATCACGGGCTAAGTCAGTTGTCGGAACCACGCGCGCCTTCCCTCGCACTCCAATCCCGTGCGTACCCAGCCTGCGCTGCACGAACTCTAAGAACCAGTCTGGCTGGGGAGGAAGGCTGTATACTCCTTGGTGAAAGAGGAACATCAAGCTTGCATTCCTGCTGCGGTCATGGCATGTCATGGTAGCGGCTTCCGTGGGCCAAGTAATTAGCCCGGAATACTCACCGGATGCGATCTCCAACTTCCTAATGTACTGCACTTGGTCGGACTTGCCTGTAGCATAATGACAGAGCATGTGGAAAAAGTTTCTGTCGTTGGAATCTCCTGCAATAATCAAGTTCTTCCCATGCAGCGATATCAAGCCCTCCGTCGGGAGCATGTCAGACAATGTCGTGGAGGTCGGCATCCCAGTCGTGAAGGCTTCTGTGGATCTTGTGGAGCTCGGCGTGGCGGTAGATGCAGGCTGCCATGCTTCCCGAGTTAAGCCAGGTGTGGCCTGCTGAAGACCATAAATAGCGATGCAGCTACACAGGACGATGATGGGGAGGCCGGCCCAACAAATCCGAACCATCAGAATTAGTCGGGGAAGGTCTCAAGGCCTTGCATCCAGAAGCCACAGGCGCCGATGTGTATCTCTCCATGGCAACTTTCCTACATTTCCGAGGCAGCTGTAGTGATGCAGGCCTATGGGTCCTAGGGGTCGAGGCTTACAGGAGGCGGGCCACGACTAGAGACCACGCATCTTAGTGTGTTTTGGTTCGCTCCTGCGTCTGAGTGAAAAGGCTGGCATGACAACCCGATCGCCCGACTCCGACCCCTGCATAATGCATAAAGCAATACTAATATCTGGGGTTCTTCTTCAAGTGCCAAAACGCAGCACAAGGAAAATAATGACCACCCTGAATGCCCCCGAATTTCGGGTGCTCGGACCGTGATGGTTACAATGCGGTCAAGGGGTGCTTAGCATGGTCACAGTTTTGCATAGTTTTGCCATATAGACGGGTATTGCTAATTCATCTCAGACCCTTTATACCACAGCGGGTCCAGCCCCGTTGCTAGTCTGGGGCCCGCCGAAGCCTGAACCTAAAGTAGACGAGAACCCCTGTGCCTTATTTGAGCTGTGGCACCTAGGTAGGCTGGAGTATAGTGGCGATGCTTTTGTCTATGGCTGTGCTCTATCTTTGGGGAATGGGTGGTGCCAATGATTGAAAACAGGTGTGGGGGTGTCAAGCGGAATGATCGGTCGGAATGTTGAGTTTAGGATTTCGGACGTGTAAAAGGTTTGGATGTCCAATGTAAAGGTCTAGGGTGTAGAGGTGCTTGCTGCTGATTTGGCTTCTCTTGACGGTATCTGGTTGTGATATAAACAAGGTGGCCAAAACAAGGACCCTTAGTTAACCCAATTCAGAATCTTCCGTCTGTGGGCAAAGGGCTTATTGTCCTTACCCCGACAATCCAATTTTGTTTTTGCAGGGGCCAGAAACCCAATTCCAAACTCAATACCCTTTAAAGTCCACACTTCCGAGCCAAGACCATGTCGTGCACTTGCTGAGCCTGGAGCTGCGACGTCGTCATGGACTGGAAGATATCCAAAGCCCGTTCCCACTCCTCCGTCTCAGTGCTGTAACTACGGGTGTAGTGATTCGGCTTCGGGTCCCTGAGGTGTGCGGGCACTTCTTGGCGATGGAGTCTTAGTGCCAGCTCAATGTAAATCCAGCACGACCCCATCTCCACAAGAGCACCTGTAACTCCCTGCAAACCTCGCAAATCTGCAACGTCGATCCTCCGAGATTTCGGGGTATACCCCTGCTCAGCCCTGCTCTGCAACCTGCCTAACTCCTCGTGCCGCACGTTCTGTGCAAACTCCCCTCTAAATTGGGCACTCCCCTCTGAAAGGGGCAGGGATTGAGAAGCAATCCAGTAGCCCGAAACCCTAAACCGTTATTGCAGCACGTGGTCGGCAGCTTTCTCGAGGGCGGTGAGCGTGGCATTACAGCTGATCACGTTGGGAGCCTGGGCTGCAAACGTAGAGTTTCGGGTGGTTGGACGGGTTCTTATAAGACTCACGAGCCGAGGTACGATGTGAGTTACAAACGCGACGTAAGCAGAAACCTGAAGGCCTGGAGGCCCTCTTTGGCCTCAAAACGCCGGGTGCTGCAAAAGCGCTATAGTGACATTGGCCATGGACTGGAAAAGCTCGAGAGCATGGGGCCATGCAGACCCCTTGTCCTTGGATCACCGCGGAACACGAACCCTTCTCTTTGAGGGCTCGAGGGCTGCGTCAGAGCTCCGCCGGATCTACCAGGAAACTGAATGCCTTTTAAACGTCTTGCGAGTTGTTACTTGGTCGTTTCGAGTTCTTGTTGCTTAGAAGGTCAGGGCCAACAGCCCAACAGAGTGGACAAAAACTGCTGGGCTAGCAGCTGAAGCAGCTAGCCTTTTCAGCCTTCCACTAGCTCTCACATCAAGAACTGCTGGCTGATTGCTTACAGGCCTCGCACGCGCTGATGGCCGCGCTGTAGCTGATGACGTTTGCTGGGATGCGTCGCTCCCACATAGAGGCCAGGACCTGAAGCCATCCTCACCCTGCGGTCTACGCAACCGGACTATAAAGGTTGCATGTAAAATGCGCGATTTACCAATCTAAGCTCGAACAGTCTAGGAAGATGCATTTAGGATTCAGGCTGACCGTCCAATTGCACGAAATACTAGCTAAATGTCATACACCCTATGCTCCCAAACCGAGAGATCCGATCCTCCCTGACCTTATTCTTCGCTGTAAGTTATAGCTATGACACAAGCTTGCTACCCCCTGCCCGCCCTCATCCCAATTAAGCTGACGCCCAACAAAAACCCTGCGAATGGGATTTGGGACTCGTTGTAGTACGCCTCTTTTTAAGAGCCTTTTCCAAGACAAAAAGGAGCGCCCCCTGCATGCACTCCTCGTGGTGTACGCTTGGGACCCCTGGGCCTCGAGGGCTCGAGGCCAGCATCCCGATCTGCCGCAGGCGTTCAAAAAGGCGCTGCAGCTGATCGTGTCGGGGCAGATCTGGGACTCCTCCATGGCCTGCGGCAAGGAGGGTTCAGGGGAGCCGGTGGGAGGCGATAGGCTTTAGTGCCTTCGGCCGCTAACTGTTGATCTAATCGGTTGGATCTGGGACTCATCACTTATGACGAGTCATGTCAGGGACCTGAATCCGGAACAAGCTCCGTGTTCCTGCGAGCAGCGCCCTCCACACTTCACTGGTTGTGCTTTCGTGCCTTGTGCGTCGTTTCGGCACCAATTTGGCGGTGTGAACAGATAGAATGAGTTCAAAGTCTGCAGCCCAAAACCCTGGAGTCACGAAGCCTCAGCGTCGTCCCCGCCGGTCAGAGGTTCCCAGACCCCTGACTTCAACTGACCGGCCCCAGGGCACAATCCTGAAGTTTCGTGTCCGTCTGCGATCTCGGGCCCTGGCCCACCAAAACCGAACCGAAGCGGGCGACGCGAAGCGCTTGCGATTTTGGTGTGGGTTTTGGGTCTGACCACTCTCTGGATTCAGTGAAGAAGCTGAACAAGCAGGGAGGCAGAGCCAACTGTCTCGTGGGTAAGGAAAGCTCTGAATATCCAGACCACGCTGTTGGCGTAGGGAACACGAGCTGACAGTAACGGTGGCCAGAGACAAGTGGCAGCAATGGAAGCAGGAAGCCTCGTGACAAGAGTCACACTATCACTGCTCGCAAGTATAGCTGCAACGGTGACAGAATGACAAAAAGTCAAGCTTCCCTCCATCGCAAGTCAGAAAACGACTATTTAAGCTATTTAGCTCGAAGTCGAGCATTCCGTCAAAAAACTGTCTTGCTTGAGACAAAGCCATTTCGAACTACTAAAAAACGCGTCAAGCCATGGCCTGGAAAAGAGCCCCAGCGAGCTGCCACTGGGAGCTATTTTGACAGGCGGTGGTTGCTGCGCTGAAGCTAACCTCTGTCATGTCCAGGACCCTTCTTAACCAAAGCTGCTTTGAAGATTGGCTCTGGGAGTACGTGCTAAGGGCTTCAAAGGTCTCAGTAGGCTTGACAAGGCACGCATGATCATGAGCGAGCAAGAACCGCATCATGGGCGCAACCAGCGGAATTCTGGCAAGGCCGCCCGGCCCGCATCCAAGTGCCGAGGTGATTTGGGAATGCGCATGTACAAACTGAGAGCTAGTGATGCTTACGCAAGCCATTCAGGAGATACTGCACCACACGCACTCCGACATGTTCCTCTGCGGCGGTTACACCCAAGGTGGCCTGCTGTTTTGCGGGCACAAGAAGCCCCAAAGCACTGAAGCTTTTAAACCCGCGGCCCTAAACTCGCTTTGTCTTTCCCTCAGACTCGAAGACCCCAACACTCAAACCTAGATAAAGCAGAGCGGCGAGATCCCTCTGCAGCGATGCGGTCGACATGGCAACAAAGAGCTGCAAGGCCATCTGCGCAGGATGGCTTTGGGCTTCGACTTTGGGACCATGCGACAGCCTTGCCCATACCTGGCCGTCAGAACTTCTACCGCACGCACGGTAGCCTGACTGTTTCAGAAAATGAGGGAAAAGTCATATAGTGATCCTCATGATGTGGAGGTACTCCTCATCTTAATTGTACAAAACCCGCAATTACGGTCTTTCTCTTTCTCACCTCCCGGTAGCACTGCCTGCCACTCGGACGCTTTACCACATGCACTGATGGTGGCGTTATGGCTGATTGCGTTGGGAGGTCCCGCACGCCGCTGCTGCTCAAAAATATGCACAGCTTCCTGCCAGAGGGCACCTTGGAATTGCGATAGACGCCAGTAAGGAAACCTGCACAAACGTGCTCCTAGGCAGTACCCGTACACCCTCAACCCTAAAGGCCCTAAAGCCGATGAGTACGATGGACACTACAGCCTCAACCCACACTCTGCAGCCCCCAAAATTCAAGATGGCTTGCACTGTCTTTAATCAAGCGCCCTCTTTGTTGCGATTTTTCCGGGGCTTATTCATTACTCCTTGGATTTTGGGGCGAAACCCTTTCTGCTAATGTACTTCTGCTGCACTACTATTGCTTACTACTACTCATCAACTGCACACCCTTCCAACGCGCTTATCTCCCCACCCCCCAGCACCTCTCAAGAGCAAATCTCCTTCTACAGCCTAGACCCTGACCCAACGTTGAGCTTGGGGGGGGGCCTCGCGGACTGAAGACAGTACCACCTTACGGAATGCCCTCAAGCCCCAATTATGCTACGAAATACTGGCTCTGCATCAAGGTACCCTTCTCGCAGGAAGCGATCGCAGCAACGTAGCACATGACATCTGGCGTGATGCTCGAAGCGGTCTGGGCATTATAGACCTGTGCGGATTTGTTAGCTCCTCTCTGCACCTGCAAAGGTCTAGGGCTTCAGGTGTTGAGGATTTCGGGGCTTTGGTGACTTTGTTGCATTTCGGTTTTATCGATTTAGGGCTCTGGCCGGGTCCTTGAAGGCTCAGGATCTTGGGGCTTCAGGCTCGGAGATTGGATTAGGACTTGCGGTAGATCATTCCCGCTGCCTTCGACAGGAAATCAGAAGAAGCCGCCATAGAAAACAAAACAGAGCAAGGCACCTTCATCGCAAGCTGCCACTGCTCTCCTTTTTGACAGGCCGAGATCACCGAGGTGTAGCAGATGCTGTTCGGTGAGGGGCTCAGCTCCGGCATCATGCGCAACAAATGCACAGAATGCTGCCATAGATTGGCCTTTGCGAAAGCTGTGATCCCGATGCCACAGTGGAAAACGTCCAGCTGCAACGACTCGTCGCTCTTCCTCGCTTGGATTTTGGATTCATGGGAGTCTATGCGGAGGAACGTTGATCCTTCGGTTGACCTTTGGTTGACTCGGTATTTAAGATTTGCTGGTTGTTCGAGCCCAGAGCTTCCCCTGAGGTCTGCAGCAGCCACACTCAACACACGTCTGTAAAAACACAGCGGACTCAAGAGTGACAGCTCCCAAAACCCGTCAAAGACAAGGCTCAAAGCTTGCATCACCTTAGTAGCCGCGTGAGCATAAACATGAACACAGATATAACAAATAGATAACATAATATATATATATATACATACACACACACACTTGTTTTGTCGGCCTCTTCTGAGCCGGATCACACACAATGCACGTGTCTCTGGCGAGGACTCCACCTTGCGACCATTCCACGTCCAAGCGAGATAGGTTCAAAAGTAGCATGCAGATTTGGTCTGTACCGTTTCCCATGTCGTGACTTCAGTTGTGGGGTATGCCCATTACTACCTAGGAACTACTGAGGAGGCCGTGATAGGCATACAAGCAAGGATCGAACCAAAACTTCCTGACTCGCTGATGAAAGAGAGAGAGAGAGAGTGCGTGTGTGTGTGTGTGTGTGTGTGTGTGTGTGTGTGTGTGTGCGTGTGTCTGCACATATATATATATATATATATACATACACACACACATATAGACAGTTGTATCGGAGCGATGTTATGCCAGCATTGACGCAAAACTGTGCACCAAAACACGACATGGCAGGACAGGCTCCACACAAACAAGAACCATTCCAGGAGCACACTTGAGGCTCCCCCCATGAGTCCCAAATTAGCAACAAACGGCTGCGGGAGTACGACAGCGGAACATGCCCATCGCTGTGGTGGGCGGAACATGGTTTGAAGGCGCAAACGCGACTTGTGGTCGGAACTGCGAAGACGAATGTCGAGACCACACTGACACCGAGGGTCCTTGAGGCTCGAGGGACCGACAGAATCCCTGTAATTCGACGGATAGACTGATGCAATCACCAACCTCGAACGTTGAAGTACTTGCACATGCAGAGAACGATGCCAACGTGCGAGCGGCATCTGCATGAGAGGGAACTATAGAAAGCCCCCTCCTCGGCTGAAACTGCTAACCTCCGATGCTTAAGGGCTTCAAGTCTCTTCAAGTCAGAGGGCTGCAAGTACAAGGTCCAGGCGGCCCGCCGATGCGAGCTCCTGCAATGAAAATTAGGGGGATCACCATAAGGGATGCTAGAAGGCTGACTAGTGACTAGAAGAGCTACGACACTAGTCTAGGGATCGACTCACACACTCGCAAAGCAGGCATGGCAATAAGTGAGGACTCCTGCGTTGCACAGAGTCACGGGCTGACATTTACGGTTTCGCTGCTCGCTTCTGGTGAGGAGACTTTGAATCAAGGCTACCATGTGGAGGGTTCAATGGCAGGGTTATTCAGGTTTCTACTATGAAATACAGACGCACTGTATCTGAACTCCCACAAGAGCTGTGCGTACCAAACCAATTGGACACCCTAGGAAAAAGAAAAACACGAAGCGCAACACCACAGTGTTTCCAAGAACATTCGCAACATCTCAAACCCTCGAGCCTAACATGCTGACGCTGTGCCGTACACACCCCTAAACTGCCTCGTGGCAGACCGAGCGCAGGCGGTGCAAGGCCCAAACGCACCAAATTGCCAAAGTCTAGGCCCTGGGCCGCCGGAAAATCCTGATATGTACAATGCTAGACCAAACCAAACTCCTCGTCCTAAACCAAAAGCTCATGATCTCCTCAACCCTAAGAGCCCTAAGGCTGAAGAGTCCATGCGGGTCGAGGGCTTAGGGTGGTGTAAGGTGGGTCTAGGGCATCCCCCGTCGATGGTGGTTTAAGGGTTCCCGTGTTGAGAGCAAGCGGCTCGAATCGTTGCGTTCGCCTGTGCCAGGTGCCTCCGCCAGAAGGGGAGCTCCTTTGCCAGCACACCTGGGAAACACTGAAATCCAAAGGGCCGAAGCGAAAGATCGCGGATGAAGACCTTAGCCCGCTACCTAAATCAGCTGGACATTCAAGATTTCTTCATGTCGGATATTTAGCTGTAAACATGGTGCAGAGAATTGGGCAGGCAGGCCCGCCAGCAGAACTGACCCGAACTCCGGTTCCAAACTTGTACCTCCTTAGCCCAAACCATAATCCCCGGAGGCTTGCTCAAGTTTTCAAACTGCAACAACCTCAGGCGGCTTCAGTTTATTCTCAGACTTCGGTTTATGCTCGTTGATATGGTCAGATGGGTTCGGGTCTTTCTGTTTTGCCCGCATCCCTCGAAACCCAAGGAGCTGAAGCTTCAGGCTTCCCAAGCCTCAAAGCGAAAGAGGAACCGAAGTTTTAACATGAGAACAGCATCATAGGTTCCTTTCTTCTGCTTGTTCATGCCGCTCAGTCTCCAGAGTTGGGGAACTACATGGGTGGGCTCCTAGGCTGGAGCCAAGCTGAAAGGAAGAATCTACCGTACCGGCCAGAAGACTTAGACTCGAGTTGGGTGGGGGGTGGAGGGGGAGCTATGAATTAAGGACCCTTGGAAATGGCATCTTACTACTCAAGTACCTACACTACAGGCCCCGAAAGGACGAAGCTGGGGAAGATGCTTCTGATAATAGCCGTTTAAGAACCCTAGACTCGAAGGTGTGGGGTTTCACAGGTTTGCATTGGGCTTCGATGGAGCAAGCAGGTTGAGGTAGTCAAATTGAAGCCCTGAGTAGGACAGACTGCGTAAGGCCTACCCATATGAGAGCCACGAAACAAATCAAGTATCAAGCTAGCTATAACACGCAGCTACGATGGCGTTATACGTGAAACTGACAACGAAACCAGGAGGAGCACCGAGTCCCACTCATTATGAAAACAACGATAGCATTTACCTCTGCACCGACTACACCAACAATATCGCAGAAACAGGAAGCTTGAAGCCCCTCGCAATCCAACTTCGAACAAAAAACAGATCCCAACGCAGCCACTTTCTCCTCATGCACGGCACAAATCAAGCAGGGCTACCGGGCCTTTCGATGCAGGGTCGGGTTCGCGACAGATCCGCGAGTGGGCAAACAAAAACAAAACAACCAAAGAGAAGTTGCGCCCAGCCAAGCCCAACATGTACAGGCTAGGTAATATAGGGATTTGCTCATCTGACACCGGCTTTCCTCAAGTGCAGCGCCCAGACTGGGACTCTGTGTGACACAGTGTGGTAGAATGTGAATGACTCGGTCAGTGTGTGTGTGTGGCACTTAAATCTTAAGGAGTGGCCTACTATAGGCATGCTGCACATCCGGCTAATCCCAACACTACCTGAACCCACAAACAGTGTAGCTGTGCTTTAAGGGGCTCTCTGGCACCGTGGCCAGGCCATACCCCGCAAACCCGACATGGCAAGCTCAGGCGGGGGTGCATGCAGCCGTTACCAGCTCTGCAGCACGTCCGGCAAGCTTCGAGTCTTCAGACCGGGTGTCCGGATGAAGTGTCTGGTCCATCTTCTGGCGTCTGACTGCAGAGGCAACGTCTGATCATGACTTGTCATCATCCTCATCATCATCATCGTCATGACCATCATCATCAGGAGCATCATCGGCATCACCAGCAGCAGCCGCACCGGTGTCAACATCATCGTCGCAATCATCATCATCAGCAGCAAGAGCAGCAGCGGCTGCATCAGCATCATCATCCGCAACATGGCATCTTAGACGAGCTAGTCAGGCTGATCTTCATCTTGTCACCATCATCAACGTCATCATCATCATCACCATCACAATCAGCGGCAGCGTGGTTCGACCGTCGTAGTCATCGTCCCCTTTTCTGCACGTCGCGCTGCAAAAAACAAGAACATGTAATTACAGCATATATTCATGACTGGCATGTCCATCTGCAGCTTGATGTTAATGTACTCCTGCCGATCAATGCTATCGGACCCTTCATGCAGCCAGAGAATCCTCATGCCACGATCATCGCGCCCATGTTGAACGATCAGCACGCATCCAGTATCAGCATTCAACACTAACATCATTCGCCGCCGACATGCTCTTCATCATATATCTGACCAACGAGAAGAAACATCATCTAGACCAACCTCAAGCCGCAATCAGAAGCCTCTGCATCACAACCATCACCGTTATCACGAACATGAGATTGATCATCCTCGTCATCGTCACCCGCCTTTGTCGTTGCAAGCAACGTGCACTGACACGCCAATCATGGAGCTGCACACGCCGTCTTCTGAAAACTGAGGCCAGGAAGCACCAGGACAACCTGTACATGTCTTTACAACCCAGAGGCGCGCAAGTTCTGGGCTCTGCGAAGCAGATCGGAATGAATTACACGCACGAGATACCTTTGGTCTGCACATCTACAAAAGTGGATGCCTCATGTCACCAGATTTTTTCACAAGGGGCTCGATATGTATGGAAATCGGGGCTAACTGACTCCCAAGACAAAGCATCCCTTCATTTCTTGCCTGCTCAAAGTTTCGTAGAGCTTCTGGCGCTTCGAATTTGCATGCTGCCATAGCTCCGACGCAAACCTGTGATGCTCAACAGGCCATAGAAGAGTGCTGCGCCGAACCTCACATGTATGGTCTTGTTCTGATTAGCTCTGATTATTAGCAGAACTATTTCCAGGTACCTGTACCTTTCGGTTGGAGCTCTGAGATGGGGATGCAGGGCTCGGGCTTCAAATTGTAGCGGTTCGGGTCGGCACCTAAAACGTCGTGGCGGACCCAAGGGATTTGCCGACAACCTGATATCGTGTACCAAACCCGCCTTCCCAAACACCCCGAACCCATTTCGGCTATCTTCGTGGCTTTTGAACCGATGGGCCGGTGCAACATGTGTACGAGTGCATTGCACGCACATTCGAAAAATGACAAGCCCGGCTCGCATCGTTTTCCTCCTAAGGCTCTGACCGCGAAGGGCTTTGGCCAGGCCTACATGCCCTCCACCCCAGAAACTAAACTCTTCGGCTAGCCGAACTCCAAACCTGTAACTGTAATCACGGCATTTCTCCGGGATCAAGGGGACGCCGCGAAGAGCATCAACGAGGATATCGGAAAAGGATTGGACCAGATTTCCTACTGTTCGGAGTAAAAGAATAAATAGAGGAGCTCCTGAGCTAATCAGCTTCCTCCATGTGCAACTGGTTTTAGACAAGGCACAGGGAGTAGAGGTAAGGCATGCCCCGCGGCAAGAAGTGTCCCAGAAGTGCTGCTGCCAACCAGGCCACCAGGGAAGCCGGGACAAACACGGGGGCTGCCTGCACAAGTCAAACACATGGCTTTTGCTAGGGCATCTGGGATTATGGTAAATCAGAGCACTTCCACCAACCAACCCCTTTCTGCACAAAAGTCGGCGGCAACAGCCGGATCAACAAATCGGGCGCAGCATTCGCGACTAATTATGCCATGCCATCATGCTCATGGAAGCCAGGAGCAAAGGCAACAATGCAGTACGTTGATGTTTGACAGCACAGACATAGGTATGTCTCGTATGAATGGCCAATACATGAAGATGTATGTACTAGTCTCTGAAAAGCATATGCGCATAAATACATATATATATATATATATGTGTGTGTGTGTGTCTGTGTGTATATATATATATATTCGTACAAATAACACTAAAAAAAGAATAACAATAACAATAACAATAATACTACTAACTAATAATAAACGAAGAAGAAGAAGAACAACAACAACAACCAC